TATAGTCATGTTAATTGCATTCACCTTACTGTGACAAAATGCCTCAACAGAACAATTTCTAAACAAAAAATGTTTACTTTGCTTCACATTTCAAAGTCTCTGAGACCATCTGAGTGGGGGAAGGCATGGTGGACTTTGTGGCAAGGAGCCTTGAGGCAGAGGTTCATCATATCATAACAGACTAGAAGGAAGTAAATGCTAGGCTATAGCCTTCAAAAGCCTAAGTCCAGTAACCTCCTTTGATGGAACAGTCTCCATTTCTAAAGGTTCCACAGCAACACTAATCAGGAAACTAATGCTATAACCATAAGTCTATGGGGGCATTTCAGATTCAAAGTATAGCATGACTAACTAATGCCCTACCTATATTTACATTGAAATTGTCTGTTTCATTCATTGAAAACGCAAATTTCATACTGCATAGACCTTTATTTTGCACACTGATGTCCACATATTTAAAACAGTATCTAACACATAATGGTTTTCAGATTATTTCATTGCTAAATCAATGAAATCTCTGAAGCCAGGTACCTTGAAGATGTCCTATTTCTTACACCTTTATATTTGGCAATCTAGTTTCACATTGGTATGAAATCTGGCATTATATATAGCCACTTGATTTATTTGCTCACTTTAAGCAAAATATGTTTAGCTAGTCAATTCAATAAAATTCAATAAAATAGTGTTTATATAGATGACAGTGTGTTTTATAATTGTATAAATCATAAGACCTCAGATGCACTGGGGAAATTTTAGTCATCAGGTAGTTTATGGTTAGTCCTCTCTGTGGAGGCAATAGCAAAGGAAGCTGCTAAGCACATAATGGGGCAGAATTTTGCCAGTATTGAAAGGGAAGGCAGAGACAATCAGCTGACTGCAGTCGACAAGTAAAAGAGGATAAACTCTGGAAACCATGCCAGAAAGTTAGTAAATGTGTCTACAACACAGTATGTTTTTAACCTTTTGAGTGACTACTTGGCATCATTAGAATAATTTCTATAGCCTTAAGTGATTAACATGTCTTTGAATTGTTCTTTCCACTTTGAGAATTCAACCAGCTTCATTGATAATTTTCCCTCTTCAAGAGCTTTGTCACCTTTAACTAGGACAAACCTACAGGGATGCCAGCTTAAGAGCTAGTGCCAAAGATGGGACCATTCCAGGTGCCTCAGTGCAAGAATGACAAGAATACCTATGAGAAATAGACAAGTGGTCAACATTAACCCTAAATATCAATTTTAAGAGCCAGGGAAGGAACATAAGATCAGAACCTTGAGCCAGGCCAGTGGTGGCACATACCTTTAATCCCAGGACTCAGGAGGCAGAGGCAGGTGGATCTTTGTGAGGTAGAGGCCAACCTGGTCTAAGGAGAGAGTACCAGGACAGGCTCCAAAGCTACAGAAAAACACTTTCGTGAAAGAAAGAAAGAAAGAGAGAGAGAGAGAGAGAGAGAGAGAGAGAGAGAGAGAGAGAGCAGAGCCATGGAGCAAGACAAGATGGAAAGCCAAGCTATCAAAAAATTAAAAACATTGAAACTTAAAGACAAGAAGTGGTAATACAAAACAATGTTATTTACATAAATAATCCAAACATATTTATCCCATGAAAAGAAACATGATAATATATTCCCTGATCTCCTTTGTGCTTCCATCACAAGAGCATGAGGCACATGGACAAGTGAATGGCCCCGTGCAGCTGTTAGACAAGAAAGATGTCTTCCTACCAACTTCCCCGTGTGAAGGAGAAAGGGTGAGTAGGAAAATCAGAGGCTTTCAATGCAGAGAAATGAGGAAAAAGCTATAAATATGATTCCCTTTAGGCTTTTTTGAGACATGCAAGTTGTGAAGTCCCATTTGGGATGTTAGATAATAAAGACTCGGCGTTATCATTCTGTACCGTGCTGAGTTGAATATTTAAATGCATGTTTACTATTCCTGTGAAACTTAGGGTTTAACTATGAAGACAAGTGATGTCTCCAGGGATATTGAAGACCTGCTCATCACCTGATGTTTTTCCCACCTGTTCTATGCATCATTTAATAGTACTTATTCCCAACTTCACTAATAGAGGAAATCTCTAGACTCAACAAGGAGTGGGTAAGGGTACCATTACATATATTGTTCCTTCTAGAGACTTACACCCTCCAAACCTGCCAGTACAGATGCTCCTTGGGATCTGGTGGTACACCTGAGGAACGGCAAGTAGACTAGATACAATTGTGTGGCTTTGTCTTGAAAGTCAAGGATGTCTTTATCCATTTCTCCCAACAGAACTAAGAATGAGACTGACTTTTCAGAGCTCCCCGAGACCACATGCATGATTTTAGATATTTGTCAGAGCCTAATGATGGCACAAAGAGGGCAACCAGGAACTGGTTCTCAAGAGAAAGTAACAGGACAAATATGACTGGAATACATCATACACAAGTGAAAAAACATTATCACTAGGCTATATAAATACATACTATAAAAAACACATACTAAAACATTTTTAGCAAATTTTATAATATAAAAAGACTACATATGACATAAAGCTAATTGTATGGCTATTGTATTTACTGACTAAATATATTATGGATCTATAATGTGCCAAGCACTGTTGTGTTAAAATAACCCAGAGACAAAAAGTCACCCCTTAGAGGTTGCAACTCAGTCAGACATCTCCATTCTCTCTCCTACTGAGAGAGCACTGCACTTGTTACTGTTCATTCCTTTTTAGTGAGTTTCTAAAACATATTTGTCCATCAAAAATATACCCTCTCAGTGGCCACACCCATTCAAAAAAAAAAAAAACTTACTTTTTCCATGCCTCAGGAGATGATCTTATAACCTGCACATATGAGCTGCATTAAGTGAGCTTAGTGGGTTTACAGAGAGAAAGTGGGAGAAAGATGACAGAGAACACAGGCATATATACTGAATTGAAAAGTGTAGGAAGGGTTAGGGGAGAAATTGGGTAGATTTGATCAAAATGCAATGTATGCATTATGAAATTCTCAATAAGAAAAAAAAGCACAACCTTTTCCATCTGCTTGGATCAGAATCTTGGAGACTGGAAAAGGAAAATTACTTGATAAGCTTTTTAAGTGTTTTAGATATAGTTACAACATGAATAAGTTCAAGGCAATCACAACACCAATGCCCCTTTGAGTATTATGATTAGCACTGACCAAACGGTTCACCCTTGGATAATATCAAAGTGGTCCCTAATTGAGATGCAGCCAATTTGCATAACATAAATGAAGCAAATACTTAAAGAACAATACTTATTTATATATATATAAAAAAGGACAAACTCTTAGAGCAGGTGTTATGCTTTGCTTCGAGGGTAGAGAAACAACCAGAATTAGTTATTAGACATAGTCCATAAAATCAAAATGACACAAGCTCTTTCCCTACTGAGTGAAATATAAAAAGCCACTCACTGAAGTAGTTCTTTGTGAGTTTCAGAGAGTTAATGCAGTCAATATTCAATATTAAAAAGCAACATCAGTACACGTGACAGATAATATTTGTTCAATTTTTGTGCTACACACTGAACTAAGCACTTACAAAAATTAAGATGACAATGACATAAGGGTGAGGTTGCAGCCCAGGGTGCTAGTCCAATCCTCAGTACCATAATCAAAGACAAAAATATAGCTTAATTTTCAAAATATGCCTGTGAAGTAGTTTTACTATCACTTCCTTTTTGCAGGCGAGAAATCTAAACCACAGAGGAAGTGAGAAAGGCACTCAAGGTAACAAACACAGAGGTCAAATTTAGCAAGGATTGGTGTTCTTAATCATCAGACTAGCTGTTGCTTCCCCCTGACTTCCTCTAAGACAAAGGGAGCTCACAGGGTCCTCCTCTAGAGAACAAGAGGACACTGTAGAGCTTCACCACCTTCCTCTTTGTCTCATTTTACCCATATCCAGTGGGCACAGCGATGCCATTGGAAAGGAGCTAGTGGTTGTGAAGCACTAGGTAGTGAAGCACTAGGTAGTGAAGGTAGACTAGGTCCTGCGTGTGAGCTCTAGCTCTTCCTGGCTGTATTCTGGAGCCTTGAGCTGGTGACCCCCTTTAAATCCCAGGACCTTCACCTTTGAAATGTAGATTACAATGGGACCTTCCCACTGCTATTGTTGGAAGACAAACTATGGGCTGGAGGAATGGCTCAGCGATTAACTGCAAGGGCTGCTCTTCCAGAGGACCCAAGTTCAATTCCCAGCACCCACAGGGGAGATCACATCTGACTGTAACTCCAGTTCCCTGGGATTTGGCACTCTCACACACGCAGGTAAAATGCCAATGCACTTAAAATTAAATAAAAATCTGTAAAAGTAAAAATAATAAAATAATTATTTTTTTAAAAAGGAATATAAAACAGAGCGACATAGTCAATTAAAGGACTTGGCACTCAATAAATATTATTAGTGTAATAAATAGAAGCAACATCAATAAACTATGAACTAAATGATCTTTGGGTTCCAATACTGAAAATGGTTTATTTCCCTTCTGAATTAAAAAGAAAGAAAGAAAGGAAGGAAGGAAGAAAGAAAGGAAAAAAAGCCCACAGCAACCAAAACAAGCCCAGTCATAAGCCATTAAACCAATTATATCTTTTGTGGGAAAATCAGAAAAGCCATTAGACCTATTAATTTGCGTGTCATTTGTCATCCCCTCTATTGTAAAGCCAATGTAGTTCAGCGTCCTGAGACACCTTGCATAATAAAATCACTGTGACTCCAAGAGGTCAAACAGGCATGCTCTTATACAGCTTTGTGAAAGGCTCAATAATTCATTTTATAAATTTCAGCTCAAAGCCTACACTGAGGTTAAGAAAAATTGACATTCGATCCATGAACTTAACGTCAAGCTCTAGAAAAACTCTGGGAAGCACATGTTTGGCGATTCAGCAGCCGACAGTACAGGCGTTGCCAAATTGTAAAACGAGAGTTGGAAATCTCAGAAAATGTTGCTAGTTATTGATTACGTTGACCATTCACTTCCTATTGAGACACCCAAAAAGAATCATTCATTTTCCAGCAGAGCCTGCTCATTTGCAAGATAAAAGAGAGCCAGCTCTGCACATGCCCATAGTGTTCCTCACCACTGGGGGCAGCTTTACATAAGACTGCATTCACTGAAACTGAAGCAACAGTCCGAGCCGCTTTCAGAATGACAGTCTGCAGGAGTGAGCCGAGCGTGTGCGCGGAACCGGGCTCTCCTGCCTTCTGGGCTCCAACGCAGCGCCGTGGCTGAACTGGGTGCTCACCGCCACGGGACCGCCAGGCTACTATGGAATACAGATGTGGCAGTACAGGTAGCCCCACGTTGCCTAGAGGAATACATCATGGGTTTTGAGAAGAAATTGTAGAAGCAATTTTTTTTTACACACACACACACACACACACACACACACACACACACACACACAGTAAAGATGCAAAAACGCAATATCCATGAAGATCCTATTACCTAGGAAGACTCGGATGTTTTACTGTGAATGCGGTGTTGGGATTTATTTGTTCTTGGAGTGTTCTGCATGGCTGGTAAAGAATAATGTTCCAAAATCGGTCCATCTCCCAAGGGGTCCAATTTTTCTTCCTGGGTGTCAGCGAGCCCTGACTCACTACACTGCAGCTGACAGGGGCTGTCATGCAGGCGGCCCCTAAGCCAAAGCAAAAGACCTAAGGACGGCCTTTGAACAATACAAAGGATGGGTATGTTTTGTCATTTTCCTTCTTTCCTTCTTAAAAACAAATGGAAAAAAAAAATCCTAAATCTATGTAATAATTCTGCTTTGTTTTAAAGATTATCTTTCTCTGGTATAAGATTATAAATTTGATAATCAATGAACATATTCCTTGTTTAATTATTAGAAACATACAGTATTCTTATATTGCAAAGATGGTATCTGGTGTTAAATGTTTACATTTCTGAATGTGGACATTGATGGCTAGCGTTGCTTTTTTTTTTAATGCATTCTTTTTGGGGGGATAACTTTTCTAAGTTGTTTTTATTTCCAGGTTTCAATGTAATTAGGCTACTGCGCGGATCAGCTGTAGCGGTGGTTCTAGCCCCCACTGTCTTACTGACGATGCTCTCTTCAGCTGAAAGAGGATGCCCTAAGGGTTGTAGGTGCGAGGGCAAAATGGTATACTGTGAATCTCAGAAACTGCAGGAGATCCCCTCAAGCATATCCGCCGGTTGCTTGGGTTTATCCCTTCGCTACAACAGCCTCCAAAAACTTAAGTATAACCAGTTTAAAGGGCTCAATCAGCTCACCTGGCTCTACCTTGATCATAACCATATCAGCAATATTGACGAGAATGCTTTCAATGGGATACGCAGACTCAAAGAGTTGATTTTGAGTTCCAACAGAATCTCTTATTTTCTTAACAACACCTTCAGACCTGTGACCAATTTACGGAACTTGGATCTGTCCTATAATCAGCTCCATTCTCTGGGATCTGAACAGTTCCGGGGCTTGAGGAAGCTGCTTAGTTTACACCTCCGCTCCAACTCCCTAAGAACAATCCCTGTGCGGATCTTCCAAGACTGTCGCAACCTGGAGCTTCTGGACCTGGGGTACAACAGGATCCGAAGTTTAGCCAGGAATGTCTTTGCTGGCATGATCAGACTGAAAGAACTTCATCTGGAGCACAATCAATTTTCCAAGCTCAACCTAGCCCTTTTCCCAAGGTTGGTGAGCCTTCAGAACTTGTACATGCAGTGGAATAAAATCAGTGTCATAGGGCAAACCATGTCCTGGACTTGGAGTTCCTTGCAGAGGCTTGACCTGTCGGGAAATGAAATCGAAGCGTTCAGTGGACCCAGTGTCTTCCAGTGCGTCCCCAACCTGCAGCGCCTCAACCTGGATTCCAACAAGCTCACATTTATTGGTCAAGAGATTCTGGATTCTTGGATCTCTCTCAATGACATCAGTCTTGCCGGGAATATATGGGAATGCAGCAGGAATATCTGTTCCCTGGTAAACTGGTTGAAAAGTTTTAAGGGGCTGAGAGAGAATACAATTATCTGCGCCAGTCCCAAAGAGCTGCAGGGGGTAAACGTGATCGATGCAGTAAAGAACTACAGCATCTGTGGCAAAAGCACCACCGAGAGGTTTGACCTGGCCAGGGCGCTCCCCAAGCCCACGTTTAAGCCCAAGCTCCCCAGGCCCAAGCATGAGAGCAAGCCTCCGCTGCCCCCCACGGTGGGAGCTACCGAGCCCAGCCCAGAGACAGATGTGGACACAGAACACATCTCCTTCCATAAGATCATCGCGGGCAGCGTAGCCCTTTTCCTGTCGGTGCTGGTCATCCTCTTGGTAATGTACGTGTCCTGGAAGCGGTACCCAGCCAGCATGAAGCAGCTGCAACAGCGTTCCCTCATGAGAAGGCACCGGAAGAAGAAACGGCAATCGCTCAAGCAAATGACTCCAGGCACCCAGGAATTTTATGTAGATTATAAACCCACCAACACTGAGACCAGCGAGATGCTGCTGAACGGAACCGGACCCTGCACCTATAGCAAATCAGGCTCCAGGGAGTGTGAGGTATGAACCATTGTAATTTAAAACCAAAACAAAACAGAGAGCTCTTAAAAGCTGGGAAAATAAGTGGTGCTTTATTGAACTCTGCTGACTGTCAAGGGAACACGGTGCCCCTCCCCTCCCCCTCCCTCTCGCTGTGCTGGCAAGGGCCTTCCCTGTCTCTGAGAGTGTGTTCATAATACTGGTCATTTTCCTCCCATAAATAGTCAACCCATTGAAATTTAAATACCACAATCAATGTGAGGCTGGAACTCTGGTTTAACACCATGCCTATTGTATAAGACCCTATATGGATTTTATTAACATCACATTTGTTTCCAGAAAAACATACACACACACACACACACACACACACACACACACACAACCCCCCAAAAACTTCGTTTCCTGAATGATTCCCTCCACCTATTCCTATTCTCCACCTGGACCTGGGAGGGTCAAATTTTCAGCTTTGGGTGTTTTATAGTTCATTGGCAAATCCAGAGGAAAAAAGAGAGAGAGAAGAGATCCTGGGACCTTGGAGGGTTGAATGAATCTGAGATGACTTGATTAGGGAACACTACAGAGACTGGGAATGAGAAATAACGTCTGCCTTTCAAAGAAAATCCCAGAAAATTATCCACAGAGGGTGGTGGGTTAGAGCAGGTCTCTGAGCAGTTTGCAGGGATATGGAAATTACAAGGTGGCCACAGGAACAAGTGTCAAAGGCTTAAAGCAAATGACTGCAAAATACAAGGCAACAGGCAAGCACAAAGTTTGAGGCTTTCGGCCTTATCTCACATCCCCAACCCTGTAAAACCACACTAACGGGTTCACTATCAATTTCCCCCCAGCCTGTGTGTTCTTCCCTAAACATCCATTTGTTAAACAACAAAATCATTAGATAGGCACATCCAAAGAGGCAGACTGTCCTCTGGAGATGAGGAAATTCAGAGACAAGGCATGCTGATGTAAAGCACCTTCTCACACACATGTAGCTGGGACCTTCCCAGGATATGTCTTTTGCAGCTTATTTTCTAAGACCCCCTTGTAGTTAATAGTGTCCTGAGCTCTGTGCTGTCCTGTTCAGGGTTTGTGAGGCTGTCTTATAGTGTCCTGGGATGTGCTCTACACACACCAGACTGATACAAACACCATTCAGATGTCTGAACATGCTTCTCCAACAGAATCCCTGAAAAAGATGCTTCTGGTAATGCCTTAATACATGCATAAAATCAACCCTGGAGGGAAAAAAGACTGACATTGTGACAGTTCGCCATTGCTTTGCTGTTGTTGACATCACTGTGTCCCTGTGTTCATCTGTATTGTAACTCAACCATCAGTACATTATGATACAGAACCCACTTGGCAGCCTGCAAGCTGCATGCATGTTTTTATGTCATTGGTGAAAGTCTGCTGACTGCAGCATGGATACCACACCCTCTGTATTAATGATGTTTTGAAAAAATATATTTATTCTGTCACCCCTTTTTGTCCTCTCTCTCTCTCAGATGAACAGCTTTAGTCTAGGAGCAGATCCTAATGGATTTCACATTAGGGATGATTCACCTTAGGACTGGCCAGCCCTTACATCTTTCAAAACAGTTGCTGCAAAGTAAAAATAATAATTAAAACAACAACAATAATACTAGCAAAGACAAAGTGAATGGGTGAATGGGTATTTCTTACTAGCATTTTTATAGAGTATGTTCATATTCCATAAGCTGAGAGGGAAAATCCAAACAAGTTAACATGAAATATAATAGCAAGGAATCCAGATTATTGAAACCATACTTCTATTAGCAATAAGAAAAGCAGCATTTCAAGTGGATTTCTCAAGGTGCTTTGAAGAGACCAGGTGCCAGCTCAGAAAAGCATCACAATTCCATGTTTACCCCTGACTAACCATTGAGTATGCATTTAGTAATAACCAATGGCCACAGACTCCCAGTAGATTAATAATGCAGATAGATCTTACAGTATCATGAGCTGAGTGACCATAGTTTCAGAGATGGTTTTCACGGAATTGTAATTTTACATTTTTCTATATTGTCAGTAAATATATATTACATCTAATTTTTTCCTTTGGTTAGCCTCATTTTTATCTGTACTATGAACATGACTGTATTAATTAAATGCACTGTTGGAGTGGGGGAAAAAGCCCATTTCTATTCTTTTACTCCACCCTCTGCCTTACTATAGGAAACAAGTACATCTAGCCAAGGCAAACTGACAGCTATATACATTTTTAGATTTTTTTCAAATTATTAATGCTATGCCACTAAGAATATACAAAACATGTTTGCTGTATTGAAAAGTATTTCTAAGATCCAAAACCACTTGGTGTGTAAAACTGATCTCAGATTAAATGAATGAGCAACATTTTGAAGGCTGTTCATTTTTGATGCCTCTCTTGGAAATAAGAAACCAAATGAAATGCCTTAGAAACAACAAAACACATTTTGATTCATGGCATGAGATTACAAGGAAAAAAGTTTTAAACACACATCTCTCCTCTGTAAAGAGCTCTTTTGCAGCTGTCACAATGCCCCAAGAACCAATGTGTGGCTCCTATGTTAGAGGGCTCCCTTACTGTGGTGTCATATGAGAAAGCCAGATGGCAAGCTGGTCAGAAGTTGCTGTGCTTGTGTCTGCCCTGTGCCACTTCCACACTGTATGCCATAGGTCTTTGAAATGTACTTCAACTTCATATTGGAGAAGAATCCTTGCTATTCATGTCTTTATTGCAAATACACATGAACTGTCCAATTTCCCTCTAAAGGGACAAAATGGATGTGATGGGCCTGAGCTGTTTAGATGCTTCATGGATGCAGAAGTGAGTCTCAGTACCTTTAATGCTTCCTCAAAACAGACAGCAAATGGAGTTTGTTTTTCATTTATTTATTGACCTCACCACAAAAGGTGCGGAAGCAGCACAGAGGCAATGCTCTGAACCAGGGACTTTTAGGCAATATTATGCATAACATATTTATTTTAAATGACTTGATACCTTCCAAGGATGCTGACATGACATCTTCCCAAAGATTTTCAACCATTTTTGTTGTTGTTGTTTGTTTTCTTTTCTTTTCTTTTTAACTTGGTTTGGTGAGTCAACTACCTAAATAGAAGCTGGCAATGCTGATTTCTATAGAGTAGCACTGTCCTCTAGTGGCTAATTCAAGTAACCACAGCTGCTTTTTTTTAGCTTTTTTTCTTTTGTGAACTTATTGGCAGCATAGATTTCTCTGCTCTGTGCATATTACTTAATGTTAGCTTCCCTGTGAAGTATGATTATCATCCATATTATCAAAGTTATTACTTATGTTCTCAGTAATAATAGAATGAAAAACCACAAACTGGTACTGAGAGCTAGAAATAATGCCCAAAGACACAAAACGAGCAGTAGTGCAATAAAAATAGAAAATGCTTTAACCATCTGTATTCATCAAAATAGTCTGCAATATTTTCTTTTAAAGCAATATTATCATGCTCAGAGTTGGAAAACAGTGTAACCTAGGCTGGAGAAAGAGATGTTGAGAGAATCCTGCTCAGTTCCTGCTGGTCAGTAGATATGTCAGGCTATCCAGAAAGGGAGGCCTCCTCTTCTGCATGAGAACTGCTCTCCAGTTTTGATCATGCCATTGACCTGTGCTTCACCCCCCCACCCCCCAGCGCTTTCTCCTTCCTTCCTCCTTTGCAGCCAGCTAAACAGTGGTGCTATTAGGCTCTCTGACAAGGATGGTACAGTCTGAGGCGCGATGATTCATGGATAATGAAATTATGTTTTCCTTCTGTGGAAGAACACGGCATCACATTCACAGCTTTGGCAAGGGATGTTAGGTGTTGGGATGATGTAGGTGCACGGAGTGTCTCTTCCTTTGACATTTACCAATATGATAACACAATTGCTTATTAAAATGTGGATTAGGCAAGCATCAGATATGAGTACTAACCCAACAAGATAAAGGCAGAATGAGCTCCATACACAACAAATGAGAACTGAGCCATGAAAAATGAACATTTCAAAAGCCAAGGGGTTTCTTCTCTCCTCTCTCTCTCTCTCTCTCTCTCTCTCTCTCTCTCTCTCTCTCTCTCCCTCTCCCTCTCTCTCCACACAGGGTTTTCATTAAGATCCAGATCTGTAGCTAACCTCAGGCACCTCACTATACTTGAATTCTCTTTGCTGCATATACTGAAAAACAAGGGGTATTTGGGACAAACCATGTGCAGGAAAAATACAATCAACAAATTTGAATAACAAACATCCTAAGAGAAGCAGAATGTATGGGTATTAAATAGGCTGGGGTAAATGGCTCTTAAACACAAATCAAACACCATCATCCTATACATACAAGTAAAAGTCACCATGTCCTCAGCTACAGAAGTCAAACGAACTTGATCTGAAATTTACTTATCCTCCAAAATCATTGGTGACTTTGAATAACTGTAATAAATATACTACAAAAAGAAAACTAAAAATTAATTATATTTCACATGGAGGGGAATATCACAGCTGTGCATGGCAGAATAGAAAGCCTAGAAATTTAGAACTAATTCCATTTTCTCTGACACTTGCTAAGTCAACTCAGGTACATTTCTCAGCTTTTCAAAATTGGAAAACGCCCACGCATAGAATAGTTTTCACTAATGACTGTGCAAGATTCCTACAATGTGAATGTAAAGAATTCTTTTTTTTAAATGATACCTGTTTGCCTGTTTGTCTGTCTCTTTGTTTTTGAAACATCTCTTAGTGAGATACTATACTGCTATTCTGTATTTGGTGCAGGACAAAAAACAAAATCACTTTGCATCAAGGAATCTAGAACTTTCACCTTTATACCCCCACAAATATTAAGTTATCTTATATTCATCTCAGGTAACAAATAGCTATGATTTTTATTAATAATCAGATATATGTATATGTGATATATATCATGTATATAATAAATATAGAAATAACAACCAGAGAACACTAAGGCAAAATCTTACCAAACTAAATCAAAATTTGATCTACATCTCAAGTC